TAAAGCCCTAAATGGCTTGGGTCCAAACTATCTTTGGGACCACCTTCTGCCATACAATCCTCCCTGCGCACTCCGGTCCTCTGGGAAGAATTTGCTCCAGCCACAAAAAGCTAGGCTCTCAGCTAACTTCCCAGAGGGCATTTTCTGTGGTTGCCCCCAGATTGTGGAACAGCCTGCCAGACGAAATCTGTCAGTTGACATCTTTAGACAGCTTTAAAAAGGCTGTCAAGACAGATCTCTTCCAGCAGGCCTTTCCAGGATAGATATCCTGGCCTCAGGAATTCATTTTAGGAGAGTCCTCTAGAAGTCTTCTCCCGAGCCATAAAAAAGACATCGCCAGCTTCCCATTTTATTGTATTAATGGTTTATCTTTGTTTGGTTTTAATCTGTATTGGTTTAATAATGTTTTTGCGGGGAGGGTATAGGGGTTGATTTTATTGGTATTTTAACATGTTGTTAGCCACCCTGATTGCTCTCAGAGGGGTGGGGTAAAACAATAATAATAATAATAATAATAATAATAATAATAATAATAATAATAATAATAATAATAATTTTCAAAGCAAAGTAAAGAAGTGTTGTGCTTTGCTTTTACCTAATACAACTGCCTTTTCTGCTCCACAGTGTCATGGAGTAATCTCAAAATGTTACCCTTCCATTTTTAAAAGCTCCCCATAGTAAACAGCTTAGTAGGGCATGTATTGGGAGGGAGCATATCATGGGGTTTGTTTTTGATAGGCACTGAAACTAAATTTAGCCTTCTTGGGATCCTGATCCAGTCCTTTGGGGTTGGTCATGCCCCATTTGCCATGATACCATCATTTGGTGATTTCCCACTCTTTGTATGATTTTCGCACCATCATTCCCAGCATAATCAGATGTGATATTGTTACATATCTGGCTGAAATCTTGCCTACAAGTGGCTGTTTTGGTAAGCTTTTCTGAAGGAAGGGGATCTAAACCATTATATTGGGCTCTGGGTGTGGAAAAGTTGAAATGCTTCTTCTAAGGCTTATTTACTAATAATAAGAATATTCAGCTGAAATAAGATGGTATTTTGGGATAGGAGCCTACATTAAGCAGGCATGTCCTTTCACACTCTGGCAGCTGTTGGGCTGCTCATATTCAGCTGCTTACTAGTGGAGAGGGAGGGGAGGGAATTTGGAGTAGGAAGGAGCACCTGGTCCTCACTTGGAGTTGGAAGAAGGAGCGTACATTTCTTTTCCTTCCCCTTGGAATCCAGACCAGTCACATCTCCATAATCATAACCTTCCCCTGCCACTAGTAGCCAGCCACTCAGGTTGCTGCAAGGAGTCTTTAGATGGCACAAAAGGCTAGAGGATAGCTCCTTGACCCTTGTCCAAGAAGAGACATATATGCACATAAGCCTCACTTAAGCACTGTTGTGTTGTTGTTTACTGCCTTCACGTCAGTCTTGACCCATGGTGACCCTATGGGTGAGACATCTCCAGGCCCTCCTGTTCTCTACTGCTCTGCCCAGCTCCTGCAAACTCATATTCGTGGTCTCTTTAATAAAGTCCAATCATCTAGCATGTGGCCTTCCTCTCTTTCTAATTCCTTCCACCTTTCCTAACGTTATTGTCTTTTCCAATGTTTTATGCTTTCTCATGATGTGTCCAAAGCACAACAGTCTAAGTCTTGTCATCTTGGCTTCTATCTCTGGCTTGATTTGTTCTAGGAACCATTTGTTTGTCCTTTTGGCTGTCCAGAGTCTCATCAAGCACTCTTCCCCAGCATTACATCTCGAATGCGTTGATTTTCCTCCTATCTTCTTTTCTTGACTGTCCAGCTCTCAGATCCATACATGGTAATAGGGAATGTGAAGGCTTGTATGATTCTGACTTTTGTGCTGAGTTGTATGTCTTTGCATTTTAGGATCTATTCTAGTTCTTTAATAGCCACCCTCCCTGTTCTTAATCTTCTCCTGACCTCCTGGCTGCAGTCCCCATTCCGATCAATGTTTGATCACAGATATAAGAATTCTTTTACTATTTCTATTTCCTCATTGTCTAGTTTGAATCTGTGTAAGTTCTCTGTGGTCATTATTTTTTGTTTTCTTTATGTTCAACAGTAAACCTGCCTTTGCACTTTCTTCTTTGATCTTCCTTAGTTGTTCCAGGTCTGTGAGGTTTTCTGCTAATGTTATGGTGCCATCAGCATATCTCAGATTGTTGATATTTCTTCTTCCTATTTTCACTCCTCCTTCTTACATGTCCAAGCCTGCTTTCATTACAATATGTTCTGCATATAAGTTGAACAGGTAGGGTGATAGGATGCAGCCTTGTCTGACTCCTTTGCCAATTGGGAACCAATCTGTTTTTCTGTGTTCTATTCTGACAGTAGCCTCTTATCCTGAGTACAAATTCCTCATAAAGACTATCAGGTGTGTTGGCACTCTCATGTCTGTAAGGGTATTCCATAGCCTTTCATGATCTATGCTTTGCTATAGTCTATAAAGCACATGCTGATTTTCTTTTGGAACTCCTTGCTATGCTCCATTAGCCATTGTATATTTGCAATGTGATCCCTGGTGTTTCTTTCTTTTCTGAACCCAGCTTGGACCTCTGGGATTTTTCTCTTCATATGTGGTTGGAGTCTATGTTGCAGTATTTTGAGCATAATGTTGCTTGCATGGGGGATTAGTGCTATGGTCCTACATTGCTGCAGTCTCGTGTGTTTCCTTTTTTGTGGATGGGGATGTATATTGATTGCTTCCAATCTGTTGACCGTCTTTTTGTTTTCCATATCAGTTGACATGTGTTGGTTATCTGTTCCTGGACTCTTGTTTTTTGCCATTTCTTTTATTGCAGCT